AATCGTCCGCCGTATACTCAATCAATTCGAAATCATGTACTTTCATATCGCTCAAACTTTCAGTAAAAGCCTCTATCACTTTTGTTTCTGAAGCCTTTTCCAGAGCATGATCAAAGTATAGACAATGACCATTTGTCTCTTTCCATCGTAAGACACTGATGATGCGTTTGAGACAGATGCTCTGTCATGCAACCGTTACAATTTTCAACAACGAGCTGAGAGATGATAGGAGCGATTTCTTCAGCTGAAACTTTTAAAAGTTTTTTGATGATACGTTTCTGGCGATGATAGAGAACAAGTTCCTTATTGTCGATATCGATAGGTTTAGACATGTTTGCTCTTTGTCTGATCGAAAGTAATGACTGTTTGTTCCCAATGGAAAAAACGTTTTATATGTGCGTGCACCTTTAACAATCTTCTCATATTAGGGTGTACATCATGAGACACTCTGCCAGTAAAAATCCGAAGGTCAATAAAAATCATAATAAACAGAAAATGTTTAGAATCGGTATTAGCGCAGGAAGAAATAATCTTAATCTCGAGGGGCATGTACAAGTGGGATACTGTAGTAAAACCGTCAAAAATTACAACCCCATTGAAATACGAAGCCTCAGGAGGATAGTATTCAAAACGTTGAAGAATGAAAGGATTCCGTCATTTCATGTGTGAACATGGACGACTACTTATCTAGCGTTTATTACGATCCAAAAAGGTCAGGAGGATTTGGCGGAGTGGATCGTTTGTACCAAGATGTTAAAAAAGAGGGAAAGATTAAAATAAGTCGAAAGGAAATCAAGGAATGGTTAATGAAACAGGACACATACACTTTGCACAAACTCATGCGTCACCACTTTAAACGAAACCGTGTCATTGTAGGGGATATTGGTGGACATGCAATCCATGCAGGAATTTAACGATGGTTATCGCTATTTACTTGTCTGCATCAATGTCTTTTCCAAGTATGCATGGGTTGTTCCGTTGAAAAACAAAACAGGTCCTGTGCTGGTGGAAGCGTTCAAAATTATTTTGGCTTCTGGACGTAAACCCGAGAAAATCATGACGGATCAGGGCACAGAGTTTTTAAATAGACATTTTCGGGCTTTAATGAAAGAAGAAGACATCAAGCTTTACAACACCTATAATGAAACCAAAGCTTCTATTGTGGAACGAATACGTTGACATGTTACCTAATCTAGTATACTCTTACAACCATAGTATTCATCGTAGTATCAAAGTCAAACCCGTCGATGTCACAACAGAAAATAAAACGCAAGTGTGGCATACTTTGTACGATGATCATAGTGCCCAAAAGACTCCAAAGTACAAGTTTAATGTAGGTGATCAGGTTAGGATTAGTAAAATGAAACGTACATTTCAGAAAGGTTACTTGCTGAATTTTTCAAAGGAAATTTTTGCCGTAAGCAAGCAAATTCCCCGCAATCCACCAGTGTATAAACTTAAAGATTACGATGACGAAGAACTCAAAGGAACATTTTACGATAAAGAGCTGCAAAAGATAATCAAGCAAGATGACGTGTACAAGGTGGAAAGAATCACTGCACAAACCAATAAGTAAACATATAAATAAATTAAAACAAACATACTTGTGATCATCGCAAAACCTTTGAAACTCACAGCCAACACTTTGTGCAGTCAGCAGGATGCATCGACTGCACAAACTTTTCCAGAAGTTCTTTGACATGTACTGCCACTGTTGATTCTTTCAAGAAGGGCAAAAGACAATTTTATATACCCATCGCTCATTCGCTTGGCCGTGCACAGATTTTTCACCTCGAATGTCAGAACGCTAATGAGTGAATTTTTTATTTTACTCATGATGCATTGCGGTCGTAGTGCGATCACCGCCTGATTAACGCTGAAAAGTCTATGTTTTTCAAAGGCGTGACCACTAAACGAACTGCTTCGCGTGTCACTTCCTCGGATTCCTTCAATAAATAAACTATTGATAAGTAGGCTATAGCACGACCAAAATTGATAACGTTTATTTCAGTAAAAACCTTTGATATATTGTCACGATTTACATATGCTACCATATGTCCGTACTCCTGATCATGATGATTAATCAAATAATTGACATGGTGCGATAAGGTTTTCATATCAATTCTGATATTGTTTTTTCGCAATTCGTCTAAAATCCAATCCATCCTTTTCCCTTAACAGCAAAACAACGAATAAATTCAAAACAAGTAACAGAATTTATTTATACTAAACTAAACAATACTTAGCGCCCAATTTGGTCCAAGTTTAGCAAAGTATACCGTATTATTATATACACAAGGTCTGGATATGAGTAGAATAACTGTTAATTATTTGTAAGTTCTTAGAATTTAGTAAAATATTAAAGAATTACACGTGCCAAATACACGCCTTCGCGGAAAAATACAGAATAGAGTTTGCTTGACAAATAACAATGTTAAAAATGTTTCTTCTGTTTTTTGTACTTATTCAAGTAATTCAACTATCATCTGCATGTGAACGTCGATGTTTAGCAAACCACATAATACATCTGCTGGACTGCACTAGGCTGGATCGATATCGCAAATACTGAATATCGATATACCACCATCAGAATACCGGTAAATACCGGTATTCCGGTATTTTTAACGTGTTTTTTTTTTAAGCCAAACTGAAGTGCTGACCGTCAAGAAAAATCAAGTTTTGACAAAATATTAATGTGGCACATACTGTTATTAGTGCAAATGTCACAAGATTCGCATTATCAAGCTATGTTAACAATTAACAGCGCTAAGCGGCAATTATTGGTAGGCCGTCAATTGGGCATCGAAGTGTTGAATCATTCAGAAAAATATTCGTTTTGTATATAAATTCAGATAGTGTTTCAGTAAGCTGCTAATAGTTATAAACATAAAAAAGTTGCATTTTTAAAACTAACACATAAACAAGTTAGCATGTTTAATAAGATTAAAAACAACAAAAAGTTACCCTCTTATACTGCCCGATAAAAAAAAACTTGAAAAGCCAGAAAAGGTTTTCGCCAAAGTTTTCTTTTTTGTCGAAATTTTCCTTTAAAAATTTCTCCCTTTTTATATTTGTGATTAAGGCGATTTAATAAACAAGACGTCTAGTATTGCTAATTATGCTAAACCAAAGCTGCTAGAACTGTAAGAACAAAATCATGCATCTGTGAGTATTAACTTTGCTTTCTAAACGTGATTGTAAGCAAGTTTGACTTGAAATAGCGTTTCATTTCGGTATTCGGCAGGAAAATACCGAAATGTCGGTATATCGGTATTTTTAAATTGTCAATATCGCCAAACCGGTATCTAAACAAATACCGTTATATCGGATATATCCGGTGTATCGATCCAGCCTAGACTGCACGAATTTGAACCTTAAAAATGTGCCATACAACAACAATTTGAGACCATGGGTCGAGGCAATCGATTTTCATAACAACAATGTGTCCGCATTCAACACCACATGGCTGCTAATAAAGTTCCCCCATGTTCGGCGTATTGATCTCCGTGGAAATCCAATAGGATGCATCCCCACATCAACCAAAGTGATAATTTTAAGCGACTGTGAACCGATCTCAAAACCGACAAATCATCCGTCAAACAGACAACCAAGCATGCCAGAAAATTCCGTTACCACTTCCTTTATATATTAACAACCTCTACTGTCCATACCAACAACGATGGAAAGTCGACAACACTACTTCTAACACTCCTTCCCACATCTATTCTTGTCTGTACTGTTCTCGTTTGTTTGCTCATTTTTCGTTGTCTCTCAACAAGACACCGTCTCCAATCCTCATTCTCGATGGAAAACCTTGCCACTAACACTTCGGGAATCTCAAGTGACAGCGAAGTAGATCTGTATTGTATGGAAACTGAATTATGACATTTCCTAAGTTTGTTTATATAAACGTTCCCGTTTTGTTTTCTGCTAAATATAATTATGACCACACAAGTTTCAGTGACATCTCCAATCTTGTTCCCAAAGCATGCCTGTTCGCGGGTATGCTCTGGGGACGAAATTGTAGCGTGTCTCATAACTTCCTATTGAGTTAACTTATCATAACCTTTTAAATGTGAAATTGACAAGCTCATAAAAATTGTAAATAAACCGTCAGAACCGCTAATAAGGTTTACAAGTACAGCCCTAGTTTAAAGATAAAGAGCAGAGCCCAGCAAATAACTTTAAAACCAAACATAATAAAAGTAAAATATTTATTAGCTAACGTTTCGTTGTTTACAATACAATATCTTCAGAGCAATCTAAATGAATTTACAGGGTATGATATATATATATATATATATATATATATATCTTTATCTTTAAACTAGGATTTCCGCCTGGTGTATCAATTGCCACAGTTTTTAAGTACAGCCCTATTCTGATGACACTTGAAGCGATCATGTTTCATAATGTGTTTCGAAATTTTACAATATAGAAATCTGATAGCCTGTACATACCTCCAATTAACGCTACGCACACTTTATTATTAACTACTAAGTGTATAGTTATATAAGTGTATAGTTTACGTCAAAACATTTCCTTTCACGCTGATAAAACTACCTGTAGATAATTGCACTAGTACCATTTTCATACTGTTCGTTCTAGTGTACCTATAAACCTGAAATGAGATCCACTCAATACGCACTAAAATTGATAATATAAGGTCTAGTTAATGTAATTTCAATAACAAAACAAATTTAAATGTGTGCTTTATATATTCACAGCGCGGTGTCGAGCGGCACTCCTGTGCTTTCGCCACCCTGTTCCAAACGTCCTAAACCTATTTGCTCTATTTCCGAGGGATGTTGATGCAATGACACCCTTCTGTTGTGACACCTTGCCAACCATCGTTTATACAGCAGATAGCTTCCGCACAAACACAATACAAACAGAAGTCCCAATAACGGACCCAATGTGACATACAATAAAAATAGCTTTGGTTCTTTGGATGCTGGATTATTTAGTTGTTTAGCCATTGATGATGCTTTACGGTTGTTATGAACATAGACGCTTTTGTAACCAGCGTTGAAGATGTGTCAAATACTGAACTACTATGTCCAGAGAAAGGTGCAGTTGTCGAAAACCACAGCTTTAAAGGGGATGTTGAACTGTTCAGTTGTCTATCCATTGATGATGTCCCTACCCAGGCAGCAAAAACAGAACAGAATACCATAGAAGATGTGTCATATACTGAACTACCGTGTCTGGAAAAAGGTGGAGTTGCCGAAAACCACAACTTTAAAGGGGATGTTAAACTGTTCAGTTGTCCATCCATTGACGATGTTCCTACCGAGACAGCAAAAACAGAACGGAATACCGTACAAGATGTGTCAAACACTGAACTACCGTGTCGAGAAAAAGGTGGAAAAATACAATCGCTTCTAACGCGTACCCCTGAATCCCGAATGGTTGTACAATCAAAAGTTAGGTTCTGACGAAGGTCAATTTGTTCCAAGTTGGGAAATACCAGCAAAAGTTCTGTTATATTGATAACAGCTAAATTGTTCTCGCTGAAATCAACTGCCCTGACCCAAAGCTGCCGTATTGTAAACATTCCATCCATAGTCTTTAATGATAGGTCACTGCAATCTAATAAACCTATGAAAGGTTCCTCGATACACATTTCCGCACTGCAATCCACAAATACTATCAATAAACTTAACGCCAAGAAAAACATTTTTATACTGATCAGCTTAGCTCGGGTTGCTATAAAGTCAAACTATCTCGCTATCATAAACTTCGTTCTTTTATACACGGCGATGTTTGTTGGCCTAAATAAACTACCATACTACAATGAAACGTTAATTTTCCTGTAACCAAAACAATAAGCTGAAAACTATGCAAAAGTGTGAGAAGACTATAATCTTTCTTTTTCAGACATGTGTAATATTTGTTATTTTCAATCATGGTACTATGCATTATAATTTTCCTGTAGCCAAAGAAAAAAAAACAACTAAAAATATGCAGAAAGCGTGGGAAGACAGAGGTCGAAATTAATCATATTAAGCGTGCTAAACACAAATAAATATTGTGCAATGTTCATTGGTAGCTATTATTAATAAATGCGTAACGCTCATTTTCCAAAAGTGGAAGCAACAAACAAACAAGTGGAAACACAAAATGGCGGGAATCCCACAAACAACAAGTCGACAGCAACAAGAAATCAAAAAGCTATGGGAAAAGACAAGAAAAAAGAAGCGGAACGACAACAAAAAATAAGACTTGATAAAAAAAAACAACAAAAAGGTTAGAGGCTTTCTGGGGATACGCCGAAAAAAGAATCCGACATTCCTCAACGAATTTCTTGCCTTCTATGAAGGCAAACAAAGCTCAAATCAGGAGACACAACAAGAAACCCCGCAGCAATCGTTGGGACTACTGTTGGTAAATAATGCTGACCTGGACTTTCTAAATGATCCTAACAGTTTGGACTTTATAGATAATATGAATTTAGACTTTTTAAATAACTTTTAAACAATTTTATTAACACTATTCTTTATAACAGTTTTTGAAAAATAACATATTAAATGTTCAAACTATTAGCAAAATCGTTTATGAATTTGTTTGCCAGCTAATGTTCCTCGTGCTTTTCGGTTGGTTTACTTGAAAGGGGTTCCACAAAACTGACATCTTGATGAGGCTCCTCAGGCACCCAATGAAAGTACTTGCATGAAGATTCCTTATCATTTGGAGAGCAGAAGAACTTTGATCTTTATCGAGACCTTCCTTTTTCACCTTACGAATCATACACAGAAACCCATGGTGACACTCCGGTTTGACTAAAGGTCGTACATCGCCCCATACCCAAAATGACCACGGCTTCAGCTTGTTGGAACACACGAAAAACGGTCTTCCATAACTTGCTTTCATCAAATTTCTAACGACCCACATTTTCGTAAGTTTACTGTGCCCACCCCACATCGAGGATGAGGCTGTTTCGTAGCTCTCCATGCAGTTATGGCTTTTTCATACAAGTAGCCCTCATCTTCGCAACAAAAGAACTTGCAGCTAGGAATCTGATTGCAAAACCAAAAGGAACCACTTTGAGTTGTCGAATGAGCAGCGTTCATGTAAGCACTTCATCTCTTCACAAAAACTATAAACACATAAACAAAAATCGCTCATCCATCTATTTATATACTCCATCCAAAACAGCTAACCAATCAGAGATGAGTACGATTATGACGTAGTTTAAGGGTGTACGTACACCATGTACATGTGTGTGCACCTGTAGTATAAATACACTTCCCCATAATTATGAACCACACGTCAAGATGGAATGCATAGGAGTTTTACCAGCGCTGGAAGATGTTATACAACCAACAAATATACCTCTATTCGGAATCCTGGCGGAAAATACCACAGAACCGGGACAGTGCTATTTCTGCTTTGAACAGATTGATGGAAACGAACTACTTGCGATGACGATGCTCATTGTCGGTGTTTCCAAATGTGGGCGGCGCAATACAATGGCACAGACATCGAAACCGTACGGTGCGGGTACTGCAGAACACCATTCCCGGGCAAGGAACTCTGTCACCTGTGCTTACAGAATAAAACAACGGACAAGAACTAAACAAAACCCGATGCTGTCAAACAACAATCCATAAAAACTGTATGGAAATACTAAAAGAAATGCTGACCAAGCTGACATTCGAATTTTCGCTAGAATGTGGTGAATTAACTAACCTTTTGTGGATGCATCTGGCACAAACTCTAAAAACATTATAATTATCAAAAATCTCTACTGTAAACTACTGTAAAAATTAAATAAATTGTTTTCAAATATTCATCGTTGTACGCCATTTTGAACATTTCCTTACTTTCGGGTTTCCATGACGTCATATTGCTTCCGCCGCTCCTGCATACTAATTACTTCCGGCGCTCTATTCGCTCCTGCATACTAATTACTTCCGCCGCTATACGGGACTTCCGCCGCTATATGTACAGGGTAATACTACTAACAGTGTTCACAAAAATGTTGGTGAACAGCAGCCCAAGGGATCACAAACCCAACGGATCACAAACCCAAGGGATCACAAACCCAAGGGATCACAAACCCAAAGAAAGAAATTGGCCAAAGGTCTAATCCAAAATTTGGACAAAAGGTTAGTTAAAAAGTAGATAGATCGAATCGCAGTCTCTATAATTTTCCGTGTCCATATATGGTATTTCATTTCCAATTATCTTATTACTTAACAGTGAACATGAATACAGTATGGTTTTCAAAGAGGCAAGTCTACTACTTCCCAGCTTTTACATGTTCTTCGCAACATTCATAAAATGCTTGAAAAAAGATGCCAAGTTGACACGATTTACCTCGACTTTGTGAAAGCGTTTGACAAAGTAAGTCATGACCTTTTACTTGTGAAACTCCATAACTTTGGCATCAAAGGTAATCTTCTTCGTTGGTTCAAAAATTATCTTTCTGGGCGTTTTCAAAGAGTCACTGTACATGGTGTTACATCTCAGCCGCTCCCACTACTATCCGGCATTCCCCAAGGATCAATTCTTGGACCAATCCTCTTTCTTATCTACATAAACAATCTTCCCGATAGCGTCTCCCAAGTCACAGCCGTGTCAGTGTTTGCTGATGATACTAAATGTCATCGCGCTGTTCGTAACCACCAAGACAGAGAAATCCTACAATCAGATCTTAACAATATTACGAACTGGTGTCAAGACTGGAGGATGGATTTAAATAAATCCAAGTGCGGAGTTCTTCAATTTACTCGTTATCTCCAACCTACTATTAACCAGTACACATTAGTTGACATTCCAGTCAAACCTTTAACCTGTGTAAAAGATCTTGGCGTAAGTATCACCAATGATATGAAGTGGAACCAGCATGTGGAGGACTTATCCTCAAAAGCTAACAAAA